GAGTATATTTACTGTGTTGACAGAGGCTGCGCTCCTCAGTCCCAGTGGGCCAGAGTGAGTTATATATCACCTTCTTTTTCACTCTTGTCCCCCTGCCTCTGTCTCCTTCCCAGTTTCTAGTTGTAACTCTCTCCCATTTAGCCATATGGAGAATGACACATGTATCTCTCATCTTCCCCCACAGAGCGGCGGCGAGGCTGTGCCGCACTGCTTCGTTCCGTGTGGTATGTAGTTAGCAGAGACTGTGGTGATGTATTGAGTGTAATGGCCAACAGCGTTTGTTGAGATTAATTGATACTAATGGCTAACACAGTTAGCGGTGAGTGATGGCTGCTACACTGCAGACACACTGGAGGATTAGACACAAATCAAGTTGCGACTCGGCTCCCACTGCAGCAACATGCTCCGTCTGCTCTGTCATCTACAGTGCAGTCTGAAACAAAAGAGATGTGTGTGCAACCATAAAACAGCACTTTGGTCACTAGTTCGATATGACTTTTACTGAACTGTGATGTCCACAATTTGAGATGCTATGAGATGCTAAATCAGATGCTAAATAATGACTGGTGACATTCAAGAAGCGTCAACTGTTGATCATTAGCTCAGTTTATCTGTAACAAACTGTGAGCAGACGCAGCAGTTTGTAAAAGTGGAAGATCACAAAAAAATACAGGGTATGTAAAAAAAGATTCTTCTTCTTAAAAACCCTCTCCGATTAAAAATCAGATTTAAAAAAATGTTTAACGTTGTTATCATGTCCATATGATGTTTTTTTAAATAATACAAGATATATCATGTGCAAAATAATAACACACAGCATAAACAAATAAATGCTAACTACGCTAAAAGTTCTGATACGTCTGCTAGTCTCTGATTTTGGTGTACAACAGACTGAATCTTGGTCTGACTGAGACTAAAACATGTGGCTTAGTCTTTTATGTTTCCTCTAACACTAACCATCTTGATTCGCACTGCTCTTTCACCAGTCACTGAAACCTTGTCAGTACAGAGAACAAGAGCTCGCATCGGCACAGCCACTAACACTGTGGCAGCCACTGCCAGTTACAAGCTAACAAACAACGTAAACAAACTCCTCAAAAACCCCTGAGTCTGACTGACACTCAAACATGTGGCTGAGTCTCTCCATTGTTTACTTTAACACTAACCATCTTGAAACGCACTGCTCTTTCACCCGTCAACCTAGCGTAGGGAGCAGTGACAGGTGGTCAATGAGGAAGTAAGGGTAGATGTGCTTCCAATTTTTTTCCATGGTTTATCTGGAGAAACCATGTTAAACAAAATATTAATCATAGCAGAGTATTTATACTTAGTGTGCAAAAGTTCACATAGAAAAATCTGCTAAGAAACGCATCATGTATGCCAAACAGGTGGGAGGCAGCTGAGATAGCAACATTATGACAGGAAGTGATGTGAACGGTAGATATGCATATTGTAAGAGTGAAGAAGATTTAAGCGTAATCCATCTTAATCGTGTCTATGCTAAATCCAGACAAGAGATGCATGTTAACAGGAGGCATGGAGCCAGGGATATAAAATAATTTTCACCACTATCACTAAGAAGCAACTTAAATTTGGTGGAAGCTCTGAATTAAAGTACATTTGCAAGAAAGGATTTTGTGACAGTGCCTCACATTCACATCCAGAAATGTCAGCAAAAACTATGCCAAAACTCCCCTAACAGGCCTCTGCTTTGCTCAACAGAACTTCAGCATAATTTATTGAGTATTTCTTTTGTGAACTCTGTGCTGTTAAGCTACCACCAGACCCACAAAAGCCCAACAGAGAGACGGCTCCTGTGGAGAGAAAGAATCAGGAGTTGAATTGATTTTCCTGTTTCAAATTATGAGAAACACTAATCCAAAGGGTATGTTAGGAAACAGCAATTACAGGTACAGGTGAAGAGGTTTATTTCCCAAATGAGTGTCCATGAAGCTAACTTTGTAGCCCTGATGGTGTTATGTGTATTTCAGAGTTAAGTGATGAACAGATCAGAAACCTCATCAGTTCCTGTCACGTCACTATTGCAGTGTAGCATAGACCGATCCTCCCTCTTCTCGGCTTCTGCCTTGTGTTAATCACAGAATGCGACTTGACAACTGTTTGAAAAAGTACCCATCATTCCCCTAGGCCAGGATGACTCATCCAGTATGGCTGCCACTCCATCACAGTGGGCTGGCCCCCGAACAGGTTCCCTTCTCCCTCCAATCACTCTATCATTTTTCCTCTTCACCTCCCTGCTCATGACTCATTCTCCTCGCCTGCACCCCCACCTTTGAACTGGACCCGCTAGTCTTGCTTTGCCGAGACAAAGCTTGTGTCATTGCTCTTCATCGCTTTCGACTGCCTGACTGACAGCTCTGACAGCTCCACTGCATTTAAAACTTTATTTTACTTCAGATGCCCCTTTAACCCACCCACCCCCATACACACCGACACATGGACTACATGCGCTACTGCTCCCTCATTCCCTCCCCAGGAGGGCTAAAATCCCATCATCCCTCTATGTCAGTGGTCGCTTTTGCATTCCTCACTCCATTAGCACAATATTCCCATTCCCTTGCCACCTCACTCCTCCTGTATCAGACAAACTGCTCCAGGAATCATAGTGGGATATGCCCTACCTACGCCAACTGTACTTCTTCTTTGACTCATTTGTTTCTATCTATCTATCTATCTATCTATCTATCTATCTATCTATCTATCTATCTATCTATCTATCTATCTATCTATCTGTGCAGACAACTCTATTAGAGTTGAACGAGAGAGGTAGTGAGCAAAGAGAGAGAGATATATGAATGAGATACAGAGTAATGGTGGGAGAGATGAAGTGTAACACTGTCTGTTTACATGGGTGGCTGGCTCAAACCACTTACCCCAATGATCTATAATGTGTTTGTATCTCACCACTTCGACCCTAGACGTGACACACACACACACACACACACACACACACACACACACACACATACACACATGCACACATGCACACACGGACACAGTGTCTATGGGGACAAAGCCGCGACACAGCTCATGAAACTAAGTTTTCAATTTGTTTTTTTTTCTACTTTGTTGACACTCAGCTCACCAACACCACACATGCAGCATAATTGCCATCTGCAAAGACAAACAATACAGGTATCATCTGTGGTAGAGTTTTTGCAGGGTTTAGCGTATGTGCTGGAGGGCTGACCAGAGCAGTGTCAGAGACTTGTAGATTGTTTGTTACAGCTTTGTAATTGCCTAAACTCCAGTAAGTGCCTGCAGCTCTACATCTAAGCAGCAGCCTTTAGTAGAACTCATTTTCTCTCTAAAAAAGCTGTGAATAAAGAATAAAGCATAAATGTTGATTAAGAACAAAGCAAAAAAAAAAAAGCTACACCAAATGACATGAATTTAATACCTCCTGCTGTGGATCCACAGTAAAAGCCATAGTTGATTATCTTCAGTGGAAGCCTTTCACTTTGAAGCAGCTGCAGGAAACACTGAGCATGTATTAACCAGATACAGTGCCATTACCACAAAACTGCAGGCTGCAGCTTTTAGTTTCCAGCGGCTTTCTGACCTGCTGGTACATTGTAGTCTTTTTATTTATAAACAGTTTGTTCTACTCAGTGCGGCTGGTTGAAAAAAAAAAAGAAACATTAGATTTTGATAAGTAGGGTGAGATAATACTGTTGGGATGCACCGCTCAAGTGAAAAATTGCAGACACTCCAAGCAAATTATAACACCCTGAAAATTTCCAATAGGTTTGTTGAAATTATCTTATTCACGACTAGAATTGTTTTTGTCACCATGAGATAACAGACCATACTTTTACCTTTTTAGATATCTGATCTGAATCTCATGTGACCTTACCTTGAACTTAACCTGTAACCTTCGCCTTGGACATGACCACAACACACAAGAGCAAATTGCAAAACATGAGAAGAAGGGGGCCAAACGTGCTATTACTGACAGTGACCTTGTGCGACTCCCTGAAGCGTCTCTGTCTGTCCCTGTCTTCCTCTTAGACTGATTGCTATGCAGCAGCCATGTCACTGGGCTGATGTGAGTGATGGAGGACTTACTTAACTCCATCCAGCAAAGGACAGGAAGAAGGAAACACTATGTCCTACAGCACCTGAATGTCAACTGTAGTCCACTCTTGTGCTATATCACCCTCTGTTGGTCATTTGCAGTACAGAGCAGTGGTTCCAAAATGTTCATGGGGGACCTCCAGCAAGATACATGGAACATTTGTTTACTGTCTGCCTCAGTGCAAATATGCAAAAACATAATTTTTCTTTGGCAAGTGTAACTACTGCAAAAGAGTTTTAAGCGGTTTAATTAGTGATGACACACTGGACATATATGCCATATGGAAAGACAGTAGAGTAAACAAAAACAGCACTGTTGTATTCATTAAAGGTCATTTATAGTTGTGTGAAAGTGCAGTGTCGCTGATTAATTGCCTGGACAGTGACCATGTGCAAAATATAGCAGGCTCAGTAATTATGTGTGGGTGTGTTAGTACATGTCTTTCTGTGGTTGTGAGGACAAATTTCGGGTGTGAAACCGTCAATGAGGACATTTTAGCTGGTCCTCATAACTTCAAAGTGCTTTTTCAGGGTTAAGACTCAAACTACACCTCCACTTCCATCAACTACATTGAAATGTTTTTAACACATTAACTCATCAATAATGTGTAACTTGTCGTTACTGATTATATTTTTCTTCTTTTGCTTAAGTAACACTTGGCTGATTTCAAGGATCCAAATGAGGTATTTTGTTGCACATTATGAAATTTACTGCACTGACTTCCTACAGTGACCAGTAGATGGCAGCAGATTTCTTGTTACATTTTCTCAGCTCCCAGTTCAGCCGAATCCCCAGAACTGATGCAAGAAAGGCGTAGTGCGCTCCAACTTTTTTGGACAGACAATACATGTGGGGGAATTTTTTGTTTTTAAAACTTTTTTGTCTTTATCAGCTGAGTATCTGATTGGCTGGAAGTTCTAGAGTAGTTTTTTTCCCTTACTGACCTCCGCTCTATAAAACCCATGATGATGTGAGAGCTTCACTCTTTTGAAGTGCGCAACAGAACCAAATTGATGGGATTACTGAGTGGAAAGGGAAAAATAAACTTTAACACTGGATTATCTTGTATGGTGGAATACCAGTTCTAATATTAGACTTCAGGCTGTGTAATTCCACGTCTTGGTTAATTTTGCCGTCAGACATTCTCAACTCTGATTTACAGCTTTCTAACGGTTTCTGACCTCTGAACAAGTGGTCTTTACGCACATTTTGCGCCATGGCGAACTCCTGTCTCCAATTGAGCGGCTTTCTCATCAGCTGCCTCGGCTGGCTGGGCATCATGATCGCGACATCCACCAACGACTGGGTGCATATGTGCAAATACGGTTTGAACACCTGCAAGAAGATGGATGAGCTGGAAACCAAGGGACCTTGGGCTTTCTGTGTCATCTCCACAGGATTATACCACTGCGTCTCCCTCACGCAGATCCTGGAACTGCCAGGTAAAAACTGTTCTGTGTACATCCATGCAACAGCATTGTGGTTTTATACAGGATAAGTATAGATTTGAATTTACTCTGTTATACTCTGTACTCTCACTTGATGTTATGTAAATAATTGCATTGTGTTATTTAGACCAATTCCTCTCTTTGTAGATCCTATTATAAAATCTAGAATTTGACTATCTCTGATTCATGCATTGAAGTTTTTCTGTTTCTTTGCTTTTTCAGTACTATATGTTTCATACAGTATATGTGTTTCTATAGCCTACATCCAGACGACTCGTGCCCTGATGATCACAGGTTCAATCCTGGGTCTCCCAGCAGTGGGGATCCTCCTCATGTCCATGCCCTGCATCAGCCTCGGCAATGAACCCCAGAGCTCCAAGAACAAACGCACCATCCTGGGAGGAGTCCTCATATTCATAATCGGTAAGAGGCTCAACTTCATTTCTTTCACATTTAAACAATTTAATAGACAAAGCCTGAATGTCATGGCCAGACAAAATGTAAATCATAGCAGGTCAAGTTGTTTTGCACTGGCATGCACACACCAAGATCCTGTCCAACCTTCCTGACACTGACCTCTAATAACCCCACCTCAAATGCTTATAAAGCTGTTGAGAGAAGAGGATGTTGAATATGACTGTCTTCCCTCCTTGGGTGCACACATATAAATGCATGCACGCACACACACACACACACACACACACACACACACACACACACACACACACACACACACACACACACACACACACACACACACACACACACACAGATATAATGTATGTTCCTGTTCCATTGAACCCTTCCCCCTCAGATCCCATCACATTCCTCTCCTCCACCTACTCACCTCCACACCCTGCCTTTGTCCTGAACCACATGGAAACTCACTCCCTCAATAGCCCAGTTTACATTGCTTAAAAATATTTGACTGGTGCTGCAGCATTTTCCAACGCCCGTGTCCCTCCAATGAAACTTTCACCTGCATCCATGTTTGACTTTTCCACTCTCACGGTCAGTCACAGCAAAGCTATTTCTGACATGTGGAGTATTGTAATTTTGTGTACATACAAAATAGCTAAAGCCCTTACTCACTTGAAAGATTTCCTATTTCATCCTGAGAAACTCTTTTATTTATTGCATCTGTTTATGGAGGGTTTATTTGTGTGTGTGTGTGTGTGTGTGTGTGTGTGTGTGTGTGTGTGTGTGTGTGTGTGTGTGTGTGTGTGTTATTTATTTACAAAATTGCATTGCAGAATTAAAATCCACTTGTCATACTGCCATCCTCTGCCTCCATACTGGCAGCAACAAGCATCCCAGCAACAAGTAGCTTGAGTCCAACTTTATTTTTGTTTACAGTGTCCTCTGAAGCATCAGATGGGAAGGTTTCAGTTCACACATTAACTGTGGGATTCAGTTTTTACCCATTCTAGTGCAGCATATTCAAAATTCATCGGTGGTAAAATGACTTCATACTGTTGTTCTGTGTTAGCCTCTGATACTATACAGGCAAAAATCCAACATATACTACAATACATGTGTCAATATTTGTACAGGTCTTGGAGGAGCCTAATCCCTTCTGAAGTTCAAGGCAAAGCTTATATAACACCATTTAGTCTTACTGCTCAATAATATTATTCTACCCATTCTTTCTTTCAGTCTGTCATTCCCTCGTGTCCTGCCTGAAGATTATGAAAATATAATCAAACCATAAAAGGCTTTATTTTTGAAATGCTTCCTCAAAATTCTTTCTCTAACCTTTAAAGACATTGTCAAAATCTGGTGTCATTAATATAAGATCATATCATAATATAAAAATATAAAAATGCAAAATCTTTTTTATCTTTTTTATCTTTTCATTTATTTTATCTTATCACGCCTTTATTGGATCTGTGTTTGCACAACTAGTATATGTGTCAGGTCATACAGTAAGTGTCTGTATCCCACATTGAGTCTGTCTGTGAAGACAGTAGATAGTGTGAAGCCATAGTTATTTATCTAGCCTTGCCTTGGCCATGCTCATTCAGAATTTGTGCTTTCTGCATCCCAAGTTTAATTACATTTTATTGTCTGGAATTTGCCACCAGACTGTGATGAAGATGATAAAGCATGCACATATTGTATATACTTTTGTTTGCACTATTTTGCATCCCACATGTCACTGTATAATTTGCCAGTGCGTGCAAGCCGCATGTGGTGAAGCAAGATGTATTATGTGTATTTATTCAATTCAGCAGTACCATTTTGCATTCCCAATATAATTATACTTTGCTTTTGCTTACGTACACTTGTATGTGTTTATCGGCTGCCTTCATTTACTCCATTTTGCATCCCTACTTTTATTATGTAATTTGACATTCTAAGCTAGCAAGATGTAAAATTATTATATTCAGCACCATCATTTTGCATTCCAATTTAATTACTTTCAGCATGCAGATTTTAATGTAACTAGTATGTGTTTATAGGTTGCTTTCATTTACACCATTTTGCATCCCCAATAGGGGAACAAATGCACATGTGATCTCCTTACGTTCAGCAGCACAATTTTGCAGTCTCAATTGAATTACACTTTTTTTAAGTAACTTGTTTGTCTATGTTGCTTTTAGTTGCATCCCCAGTTTAACAAGTTTTTCCGTCTCTTTCTCCCCAGCATTGTGTGGTATGGTATCTACAGTCTGGTTTCCCATTGGGGCCCACCATGAGCATGGCCTCATGTCATTTGGCTTTTCTCTCTACTCTGGCTGGGTGGGCACTATTTTCTGCCTGCTGGGTGGGGCCATTCTCACCTGTTGCTCATCAGAGTCCTCCTCCTACCAGGACAACAACCGCTTCTACTACTCCAGACAGGGAGGAGGCAACCCGCCACCGGCCTCCTCCAACAATCACGCCAAGAGCGCCCACGTCTGAGCTGGGAGAGATTCTGAATCCCAAAGTGGATGTGTCGGGGACTGTAGCTAGTTGTATATAGAGACATATACGCAACAGCACACAAACACACATTTTCACATTCAGCACAATAACAACCACATTCAAACATATACTGGAAGAGAAGGAGACACATTCACACACTCAATTATGTTGGGTTATGTGAAGGAAACTTCTTCAATGAGCAACCCCCCCCCCCAAAAAAACATACATAAAAGAGACATTCACACACACAAACACACAAAGACTGTTTTTGTTGGAGCTCTTTTTCCGCCAATGGATTGTTTTTGTATCGCAGAGCTCATCTTGCAGCCTCCTCATGTTGGGCGTGGTGTGGACTCATGCTGTTACATAATCGTACAAGCTCCTGAGTAACTGCTTACACAGCAGCCTGAAGTTCCAATCACCTGAGGCCCTGTGGACTGAAATATTGATTTTCTATATTACTTCTATTTTTCTATTGTGCACCAAGAGATGAAATCTTACGAGTGTCTTTGTTGATAAATATATTTTTTAAATCATATTATGTCGAGATCTGTTGTTTTGATAAGAGCAGGGTATAACAATACTATTGTATATACATTGTTTATGTACATTGATTTTTCATTGACTCTCCGGTGCAGTTGCGTCTTGAGTGATGGACTTGATTTAAAAAACAAAACAAAAACGTGCTGTTTTTTTCCAAGCCTCTGCAGGAAGACAGTAGAATCATGGGAACAAATTTCACAGGAGAGCTTTAGCCAGCAGTTTTACAGCCTGAATTAGAGCCTCAGTGTGTGCACTGACTTGGCAAAAATAACTTATTAGAGAGTACAGAAATTTCATCTTTATTACTCTGCTATCTAATAGTGATTTTTAATAATCTAAAGTTACCTTACACATTTTCTTTGACTAACTTCCTTCTGTTTTACGTTCGGATAATAACCGAGTGACAATAACAGCAGCTTATCCTGTTAACTGTTGAATCATAAATTTCCAAACATGTAAATCAAACATTTCTTCATATAGAGTAGCACTTAAAAAGATCTGTAGCTAAAAATATGTTTCACAAGTGTGCAAAAAAACAAAAAAACAGTATTATGTAGATTAGCTTCTCTTGAAGGAATGTGATGACTTGAATGTTCCATATCTGAAATGTGCTCTGAACACAGATGGAACCTGATATTCCCAAGCTGAAGATACCTGATATTTCCAACTCAGATCCATAAAGAAAGCAGTATTAGCTGGTTATTTATTGTTTCACTGATGTACTTTTGTTTTGTTTTTTTCTATAATAAAAAATAAAATCATCAAACTGCCTTTGTCTTGAGTCTGTCACACTGTCATGATAAGATGTTCTCATCTCACAGATCGCTACGAATGCAGAAGACAAGGTGGATGATGAACTGCGTGTGTGTGTGTGTGTGTGTGTGTGTGTGTGTGTGTGTGTGTGTGTGTGTGTGATATACGATAATCACTGCTCTGGAACAAGCTGTCTGTTATGCTCTTTGATGCGGATTGGCAACATAGACTATTAACAGTTGTCTTTGTAGGATTTGGCGTTAACATTGATGTGAAACTAAGCTGAGAACTGTGAGACGACATGAATTGTTACTAATGTATCATATCTGTAATGTGACTCAGTGACCTTGAGTTAGGTCAGCACAGAAGAGCCTGTCCCTAAGACACTGTACAGGCCCTCCCCTGCCAACCACACACTGACACACATAGATAATTGTGTCCAGTGTGTGGCTCACTGTCCATATCAAGGCCACTGAGTCATATCACAGATATAACATGATACTCTGGAAACAACTTTGTCCCCAGTTTATCTTCAAACACAAACACAGACACACACAGTCGCCGGATCTCCATTCAGTTACTGTATTTCTATGGATCGTTCTGTCACATCATGTGTTGCTCAATTTCCTGGCACGCCTGTGTGTGCAGGTGTGTGTCTGTGTGTGGTCATGTCGACGTGTGTGTATTCCCTGAAATGTGATGGTGTTCCAGGCATAGAGCCCATCCAGTCCACAGGAGAGCTGTGGGAGGGTTGTGGGCAACCAAGCTGTCCTGTATGTCTGAAAGGGACTGGTAGTGTTATGATATAATAAGCAAAAAAAAAAAAAGCTGACTAAGAAAAAGTTTGAAAAGAGAATCTATTTTTCTTATAAACGCCTCTTAGATGTTCTCATATTCCAGCCTCATTACTCTGTGATATTCTGTCCTTTCCAGCAATTATTTTCAGATTAAGTATTTGATTTTCTTTTCTCGTGTATCCACAGTCCATCAACCTGGCTTGTCTGTTTCTACCTCTGCCCAGAAATCCATTCAGCAACACTCCACTCGAGAACTTGAACATTAACCTTTTCCCTCCCACTGTGTGTGTTTCTGTGGAGCTGGAAAGTGCAAAAATTTTTAGCAATAATGTTAGAGCAGCAAGTTTCCCAGTGAAAGGGAGCGGAAGCTAAGTCCTCCTATCAAAACACAGTTGTGTTCTGGTTTATTGAAGCTACACTCTGATGTTATTTGTGTCTCTTATATGCTTGATTTCTCACAGTTTGATTTTTGATTGTTGAATGGAAAAGACTCAAAAACCTGCTAATTGATATTTTTATATTTTAGATTTATATGAAAGGTCCCATGTTTTACACTTTTCCTGTGTTTTATTTTAAGGTGTTGATCCTTAAGAAGATTTATTTATGGTTTTTAGAACCAAAAACCATTTCAGTGCAGTTTTACACCTCCTCTATCAGGCACTCTAGTAACAACAGGTCATTCAGCCAATCAGAAGAGAGACTCTGACCCTCTCCACTGATTGACTGACTGTTTTCTGAGTGATTGAAATAAAATATGGCAGATTTCAGGTAAACACTCAAGGAAACCAAATCCTGCAAGGCTGGATGGTGGGTCTGGATATTCCCGGCTTGGGGCATGGCTGAGGGCAGTAACGGTTGTGTAGTACTTTAGTTATGACATCACAATGGCTCAGTTTCTGAATACAGACTGTGTGCATTTCTCTGTGGACTGAGCGCTTACTTTCACAGTATTAATATAAAACCTAGACCTGCTTTTTTAATCAAAAAAGACATGGAAATCTACCTGTATACAATATGGGACCTTTGAATTTCCAATTAACATCACTGTAACTGTGCAGTGTCTGAGTGATGTGAGCATGTTTGCCTGGGTAAAGCAATAGTTTGACATTTTGGAACATGCATTTATCCTCCCTCTTGCCAAGAGTATGATGAGAGATGGTTAGCTTACCTTAATGCAAAAAAAACACAAACAAAGCTACGGTAAAATTACCATAAATAATCTTCTCGTCGTACTCTTGGTAAACACCCTCAACAACAAAAGAACAAAGAAATGCAAGGCACATCACCATCAGCTTTTGTTGTTTAAGAGTTTCAGGAGGGATCTTCCATTTTTAGCTCATTGGCCCAAGAAGGACCTGAAAGCACTTTGCTTTTTTTTATAAAAAAACAAAACATGGAAAAACATCTGGGTCGTATGAAGTTCAAAACCAGATTCTTTTCCCACACTTACAACCATGCATAATACCAGTGCGGAATTGTTTGTGTATGTATGCACATATGCATCTCATGTGTGAATAAATGAGCGAGCCGTTTTGTTTTTCAGTATTTGCAATAAATAACTTTCATTGTTGCATGGAAGCAATATCAACAACTCAGCAAAAAACAGTGCACCCAGGAGCAAAAATAACCACACACATGGAAGAAACCATTAAAAAAAAAATCAACATAAAAAACAACTACATTATACAGCTTTGTGCCAAAATATACAGAAAAGAAAAGGAATATCTAGTTGTTGCGAGAGAAGCCAATCTCAACAAGTCTGACACACACTGACTGGACACTTTGGCCACAGCGAACACAGAGCACAGGAAGAACATGACACGCCTTCTCCGAGACAAAATAAACAAATAGTAGCTGACTTTAAAAGCAATAGTGGCAATAATTGATTATGCTTGTAGTTTACCCCTTTATAGAATTGTATTAAAATAGTTTCATGTCTCCTGTAGTACTCTTACTCCCTAAACCTTCTACCGTCCTATTGACGTCTGGAGCAAACCATTTCAAAACCCTTCAAAGGAAAGGATCAAGGTTTATAAATGAGATTCATCTTTCTTGAGAGACTACAGTTGGTAAAAATATATTTTTAGCAGTTTCTCCCAGGCCTCCTTGTGATTAAACAAAAACACAGAACGTGAAGGCTGACTAACTCCACCCAGCGCTTTTGTGCACACCTTCCCCAGGAGGGTCTGTGGATCGGAAACAGCTGTAGAAAAATACTTTTCTTTTTCTTTTTTCCCTCCTTTCAGTGTTGTACTTTTTCCACTATGTCACATCAGTGCTCTGATGTAGTCACTGGAGTCTAGACTAATACTTTCAATCTTTCAATGAAATACTTAGCAACTAGGATTTTTAAAAAAAAATGACCATTGCACTGTGAGGAAAAAAAAAATCAGTCTTCTAGTGATGAACTGATATAATTAGCTTATTAGCAAGAAAAATCTTTAGCTCTGTTGTATATTAAGTGTTTCTTTAGAGGAAACTACAGTCTCCTGTACGTGAAGAGTAAACAAACATTGTGGACTTTGGCTTGCAGAGGTTGTGGTGGATAAAAAGGGATTTACAGGAAGTAGGTATACTGTAAGTGGTTGAGGGAAGATGTGGGAGAAGTCGCTCCCACACTTGCGTGTTTGCTACATGTTCTACTCCCGTTCCTAACGGAGCCTTGGTTCCCATACCTGGCTGAGATCACTTAATGAGCTTAAAAGTATAGGAGAGAATAAGTGAAGATTTTTTTGAATAATCTTCTAATAGCTCATAGAGTTAATTTCCCATCTAACATAATATTGAGCTGCAAAGTATAAGAATGGTTTGGTCTTGAATCTGAATAGAGATGATAGCAGTATCAACTCACTGCTAAGGACTAAGTTTTTTTTTTTTTTTTTGGCTGATTCAGTTGTAATACAGCTGTTAAATCTCAGCTCAGAGACCAACAATCCCAGGTATAAGAACTAAGCCTGCGTTTGGTTTGTGTTCTATTATGTCTCGTTGTGATCAGTCACCACATGCAAGTACAACATTTACAGTTTGGACCTCGTGCATGACAGCATGCTACACATTCACCAGACAGTCACATTGAGGCGCAGGCGTAGACTGCAAACACACAAACACACACACGCACACACACATACATACAGTACATGCACCCATTTGCACACACATACACACACACACACACACACACACACACACACACACACACACACGGCAGATAATATAGAAAGTTGACTGTACAGTTCAGTGTCAGAGGCATGGCACCGCCTGAATTCGCCTTCTAGTTTTGGCTGGGCTATGAATGCAAAGCGGCTTTTGGCTGAGTCGGGAGGTGATGTGGGTGGGGAAGGTATTTTGGCTGAACAGTCCGACAGTGGGATTTATTTTTTGGATGTGTGTGTGAGATATAATGTGCAAACATTTTATTTCATTTTTTTTTTAAAAAACCCTGTCGCTAGACGGAAAGTCGATATTGGAGGATTCTGCAAAACCTCAGATCAACATTTCGAATGTTTGATCCCTACAATTTTTCAAATATCAATTTCTACGATATCCATGCATTAAAACAACAGTGTGGTTAAGGTTGAGAAAAGATCATGGCAAATAAACTACATCGTTAAGGTTTGGCAGCTATAAAAGCTTATTAAGGTCACTGAAAGATCATGGTTACAGTAACTTTGACTGTTGTGACTGACTCTAGGCTGTAATGAGGATTTTAACAACTTTTGACACTGTGAATTCAAATCCCTGCAATATTGCAATTTCTGTGAATTTTTATTTCCTTATGACCAAAACTTTCTCCACACCTTCAAGGGAACAGTTTGTGGTAGGGAGATGTCAAATTAGGTAATTTTTGTTGGCCTAAAGGTGGTATAATTTAGATATATTGATTTTAAAAATACTGTAATCAGCTTGTGCAACTTTCACTGGAAGAATGTAAACTCCCTCTAGGGCACGATACCACCCAAATTTCCAGTATGTTCCAGAAAGGTCACAATACTCCCTGCACAAGCTGCAGAATCATCCAATATGAGCGTAATCCCTCGGGATACTGGGTTGTTGTTTTTTTGGAATGGGTACCACAAATATTTCACCGGACAACACCAACTTTCACCTATTCCTACGTGAAGGAACCTTTTGTTGAGTATGGATGATTGAATGTGAGAGAGGAGCAGAGGTAGGGTGAGGGGGGGGGGGTTAGCGTGGCATCCTTTGATTTAGTGCATTAGACAAGTAAGGCTTCCCTGGAAGGGACAGATGCAGCAACAGGGGGCACGAGGAAAAAGTACAAGGACGACAATCAGGGCAGACAGCAGCAGCTATTGTAGACGTGCCCCCACCCTCAACTTAATATCTTCACAGGATGCTATTTGGTGTGTGCCACAGTCCCTTACAGTGCCATGTAGGTATACATTCTAACTATGGAATCAAACCCTCGAACCTTGGCAGCATTAGCTTACATGTCCTACACAATGAACAATAGAGGACCATGATTTGATTTGATTTGATTGACTTTCACGATACCTCGGGGGCTGCAGCGACAGTGTAGGTAAAATGTAAAAATAGGACTTCAACACTAACTACATGCATGCATAAAAACTGAAGAGGTAGGGGCAACAAGGATCACTCGGATCAGTTTGGGCCTGGGTTAGAGCAGAACCAGAGGGCGAGGTGGAAAAACTCTGATGACAAAGTAATAGCAGATGCCCTGAGGTGCAACAGGAGCTAATGGATCGACAGGCCACGAGGAGATTGTTGCTTCAAACCAATCATGGCTATCACTTGTGACTTACAGTGGTAACTCACTGCTGACATGGCCCGATGGATATCAAGAGGAGGGTGAGGTGGCAGATAGATGAAGGAAGAGTTGGGCTGGAAGAGCAAAGGAGTGGTGGAAGTAGAGGATAAAAAAAAAAAAAGAAAAGTTGACAAGAAGGTGGGAAAGAAGCAAAAAAATCAGAAGGGGAGGAGAAAGGGAGAGAGATGGAATTAAATTTCAGTTCACTCAATGTGAAAGTAAAATTCCAATATATTTATAACACATTCCTATTCAGTTAGGGACTGTATGAAAATGATTAGTGCGGGGAGGGCGGTTGAAGTGTATGTTTCAAATTCCCTCTACTGCATAATGAATATTTTCTTTGGACCTTCCTTTTGGCTCACAAAAGAACTGAAATACCCTCATCCCCATAATATATCAAAATAATACAAAAGTTTCTTTTTTTTTAACAATTAAAATAGATAAAATATAAATGTAGGGTGAAATAAAATGAAAATATCCTCAACAGACTCTCCCCCAACAAGTTACTCTACCCTCCCTTCAGCAAAAAGACAAAATCATTTTCTGACCCCCAATACTTCTCTAATAATTTTATACAGTCCCTAATTTTTGTTTTCTTCTGCAGGGCAAAAGACACAAACTATGAAGAAAATTCATTTTCCAAACTGTATGAACTGAAAATTAATTCCTTCCGAACTCTGGTAAACAGAGACGAGCACACAGAAAATATGACATTCATCAAACCATGCAGGTTGTCAATTAGGATTCAACCTGTTTTCTCTCTGTCGCAGCCTCTTCTCCCTCTTCTTTTTTTTTTTTTTTTTGTAGGTACACTGATGAGCTGACAGGCATGTGTTCTATTGCACCATGAGCTGCTTTGTTGCGGGTGGATTGACGCTGAGCTTCATGCTTGGGGCGGAGAGTGGAAAGAACAAAACGAAACAAATACCTACACATACACGGTAAAACAATCTGAAGAACACACTTTATATCGACACACACAGACATGGAAAATCAATGTAAAAGGTGGAGTTTGATTGCACATACACCCTCACGCGTACACAGGCAAAAATAAAGTAGAAAACAGACATAATCAGAAACTCACATACACCTACAGTAGATGAAGGCACTATTGCAAGCAAAGTCCAAGTACTATTTGTGACAGAAAACATCAACACCCTTTTTCCCAATCCACTCCGCATGTCCCTTGGGCTAGATGTTAGGGGTCAGGGGAAATATTTAAAGATACCCCGAATGTGGTTTTTCAGTGGTTTTTAGAAAGCTTTTTGTATGTTTGAGAGCATGTGTGGCCATTTTCCTGTCAGCTGGAAATGAAACAAGCAGAAACAGTCGGACCTAGACGTAGGAAATCACTCGGGCTTGGCATGCTGTCATCTAAATTTCCTGCCTGTGTATGTTGAAACAGGAAGAGAGGTGCTGATTCATCTGTCCCTCGCTCATCACCTTTGTCTCTCCTGTATCCCATGATTAGACATTAACATTTGACTGATTGCTCAATACACAATGTCGCATTGGTTTACGGTGCAGTGAACCACATTGTATTCTATCACTTGTTATGTACGTACTTCTCTGTCTGGTGTTTCTTCGTGTGGGATGTGGACTCTGGAAAGTGAATAACAAGTGACTGTGATAAGACACTCATGACCTTGACATCCACATTTGCTGTGTGAGCAGGGGAGTCAAGCATGGTGAAAGAAAAGCCATTCCACTGCCAAGAAACAATCTAGCCCAAGGGTTAGACACACAAACAAATACACACACACACACACACACACACACACACATGCAGGCATGCACACTCATAAACACACACACACAAACAATCACTCGTGCACTCACACTACTGTTCCCCTCCCTTCCCCCAGGCAGCAGACAAGGCAGTACATTCAGGGTAACACAGAGTCAGTCCCTTCAGAAATCCATCGGGTCCTCCTCGGCGAGGCCGTGATTGGCAACGGTCCTGCCTCCACCTTTAGATGAGATCCCCTCGCTTTCAGGTTTTGCCTGAGCGGGTGGAGTGAGCCCCGATCCCCCCTCAGGCGCACCCCAGGGGTCAGTGGTGGGTGGGTAGAAATCATCATCGAAGCCGCAGAAGCCTTCGTCCACACCCTGATCGTAGCGCTGGTAGGTGGAGGCGTGCACCTCGTTCTCCCTGGCCGTGATCTCCAGGGTGCTATTCCACATGCCATAGCCGAAGTAGATGAGCACTCCTGAAAGGACACAGATTTGTTGCAATTGATTGAACAATATATAGACACATACATAAGCACAAAAACAGATGCAGTGTGTTAGAGCTTGTGGCATGATTTTAAGAGCTCAAATGGAAATGTAAAAGCAGAAAGAAGGAGTAAACTGGACCGATTTAAAAACAATTCATCCCACTCTGAGTGAGTCACAAAAACACAGCAATCCTACTCACACAGCAAAGTAATACACAGATGTATATGAACAAAAACAGGTCTGCTGGACACCAGTCTGCATTAATTCTGCATTTACATAACCAGCAAAAAAATGGAGCACCAATGGAGACTTCAATGATAAGCTGAACTACATGTACGGCACATTTACACACACAAGTATGCAGGAACTCAGACAAATACAGATGCGCAGATAGATATGAAGAAGACAGGAAAATAAAAGTGAAATGAGACTTCCTAGTTCAAACAAACAAAGCGAGTAAGTGAGACACATGCTAGGTTTCACTGGCTCACTGAGCCAATAAGAAATGAGTCACTTTCAAGAGAAATGAAATTCATCATTCCATTGTTTTAAGATCAACTGAGGTGAGTCATTGTTCTAGCTCGAAAAACGCTGTCAGTTCCCATCTGTCCAGGGCGGTAGAGAAGCTGAGAATCCTGTCTGAAAATCTGGCAGTAACAGACAAAACTTAAATGCAAGACAAACTACCATTCAGCGAGTCAGTCCCTTACCCACGAAGCACCAGATTGAAAATCGTATCCAGGTGATGGCGGACAGTTTAAGCATGAGGTAAATGTTGACCAGCATGGCTGAAGCAGGGACAAAGGGCACGCAGGGCGCCATGTAGGGCAGTCGCTTTGGGTTCTCAGGTTGCTGGAGGATGATGATGACGAGGAGGGCAATGAAAATGATGAAGAAGATCAATAGCAGCAAAGCCCACCAGCGACCCTCCCCGATACTGCTCGCTCCTGGAAGAGGAGAGGGGAATCAAGAAAAGAAGAAAGATTTAATTTATAGTTCCATTTTACTGTGAATTCCTGAGTGAATTCTTTTAATGTTGTTCTCACCAAAAATAATAAAGGAGCAAAAAGCGAAGATGGAGATGAAGAGCAGCAGCACACACACAGTGACAGTTTTGCCCGTGGCTGGAGTCGGCCTGTCCATCTTCCCCGGGAGGCCCAGTCGGATCCTCAAGGTGTAGTAGCGTGGTCCAATCAGCTTCTTCAACCGGCGGGACAGCCCGCTCTCTGACTCCTCTGCCTCGATGCCAGTGGTCATATCCACCGTGCCGTAGTTTGGGTGGCTGGCAGTGTAGGCGTTTTTGTCTGGTTTGCCTATCAGCATCTCGTTGTCACCCAGTGATGGCAGGTTTTTGGCTCCACAGGTGTTAGTGGGCGGACCTCCGTACTCATCGGCCTCACTGGTTGGCGAGCAGGCGTCCTTCTCGCATTCGGCCAGAACGCCTTCCTTCCTCTTGTTGTTCTGCTCTTCAGAGAGAAAGTTCACAAAGCCGTGGATGTCGCCCTCAGGTTGGTAACGTAGCAGTAGTACACAGAGGCTCACCTGTAACCGGGAGGGGGACATTTGGTTAAATCAGTTTATAGCAGCTGATTGGCTGTTAGCTGTCTGTTATCATCCAATCACATTAATGCAAGTGCATAGAGCAGCCTTTACAATCTGACAGACTTACTTACTTAGCTGATATTCTCATGACGACAGTGCTAGCTGCTGCAGCTCCCTCCATCACCATGACGTCCTGTTTGTATCTTAAACCCTTCGGAATTGTTGACTTTGCTAAGACCTACTGTTTATGTATATGTTTACGGCTATCACTGCATAATTCATGTGCTGGAGAGAGATTAGTTTTCCCAGCTAAATCCCTCTTGCTATGTGCTCTCCTTCAAAGAGCAGAGCCTTTTTAACCTATGAATTGAACAATATAACCATCCACATTAAATAGCACATTGTGAGTGTCCCAGACTGAAGAAGAACTCATTGGTTGTACATTGTGTACGCTGGCTGTCCTGTATGTGAACAGGTTAGAAAGTACTGAGAATTTAATCTCTGTAATACAGAGAGCTAAATATAGTGAGTAGGCAGCAGCACCCTGCAAGTTCCCATATGGTCTATACGTATGTGCGGACCATCATTATCCACCGCTCACCAGGGTGTAGGCCAGCAGGGTTCCTATGGACATCATCTCTATGAGGTCTCTGAGGCTGACCAGGAGAGACAGCAGGGCTGCTAGAAAGCCTGACACCACACAGGCAACAGCAGGGGTCTCTGTGTAGGAAGAGACATTTGCCAGGAACCTAAACACACACACACACACACACACACACACACACACACACACACACACACACACACACACACACACACACACACACACACACACACAAAGATGAGTGGGTTGAGAAACAGCCATGCGTCATCCAGATTGATATGAGAAATAAACAACAATAGATAAAACTGTGTGCACTGACTTAAACAGCAGGCCATCCCCTGCCATGGCGTAGATGACCCTGGGCATGGGGAACAGGGACCCCAGCAAGGAGACGGTGAGTCCGGCTATGGAGCCAACGGCAACAATATACTTTGCAAACATGCAGCCGTGCACAGCGAACATCTCCATGAGCGGGGCGTCTGCGTCGATCTCATTGTATGGTACCATCAGAGTCAGGATCACAGAAACCTGGATGGAAGAGGATTGAATACAAACACAGGAATCCAATATTACAGTACTCACTCACTTGAAAAAAATGAACAAATCCATAACAACTGGGCAAACTCTGTCTGCTGATGAAGATCATGTGATATGACTGAAAGTTTCAGAACAGCTACTAAATAGCCCTTTAGGTGAGACTGTTTCCTCAGAATACTGTAACTGCATAAACATTTAAATTCTCACACATTCTCACAACCTAGCTTTGCACACCTAGCACGTTCAACACTGTACATCACATCACGTCACATGCAAAATGTTAGTGTGCGTGTGTGTGTGCATTTTTGATCCTCGCGTCTGACGTGTGAAATCATGCAAGGCCATCTGTCACAGATACCGTGTTGCAAAAGAAGGATTTGCGTGAACAGATTACAGAAAGAGAGCGGAATAATAAAAAGACCAACCCTCACAGAGAGGAGGATGGAGAGATCAGTTTTGCCCTTGTAGCCTGGTGCCCTTTAACCCTTCGTTCAATCGCAGCACAGCCTGGCTGACAGTGTGTGTGAAAGTCAAAGGGGACTATACATACTCCAGAGGGAATCCTACAACAAATCCTGGTTAGATGTCTTTGTTTGAGAGGGCAAAGCTGATGCTACAGTGCCCACTTTAGCTCACTGTCAGCTAGAGGTCAGCACACATGCATGTGACTCCTCTGTGTGGTTGAGGGACTTTCAGAAACATCATTCGGCATGATTCTCATCCTTGTGCCCTTCTTACTTGAATTCATACTGACGCCCACTTAAAAGCATGGATGCAATGATTAAAATGATTCTAGATCTCGACCTGCAGCAGCTACAGGATCCTGATGGGAGCGGAAAAGTTAGAGAGCGAGATCGATCAAATAAAGATGGAGATTGAGAGAAGCTAAGAAAATAAATTTTTTGAGCACAAGAGAGGGCTGATATGGAGGAATGGATGCAACTGAGAGACACAGAGAGGAAGAGAAAGACGAGGTTTTCAAAGAGAGTTCTGAAGTTGATGCAATCATTGCCCCAAGGCGATGCCGAAAAACTCTCCTTCCTGATAGGCCGCCGTTACATGGTACCCATGGCAACAACCATCCAGCGAAAAGGTGTCAAAGTAAGAAATCTGGTAGGGCTGCGCGAGCTGAATACGTAAAGATCAGAGATGAGATACACACCCGCACAGTTGGAATGCATGGGGAGGAAGCATATTGATGTTTGATCTTTCCATCTCTGTGTCAGCTGCTGCTCAAACTTTAGGAAAACACTTTCAGTCTGTGTTTCACAAGTAAGTCGACAAAAGAATGATAAATAATATATATGTTGTCGCATTGTGACAGAAATTCTGTCACAAAAAAAAAAGAAATTCTCTTTTATTCTCAGCAGAGCGATTCCTCTCATTACGCAAAAGATTTGTTTCAAAAATGTTCATGTGGGTGTATGAATTAGAAGCTGTGATTAGAACCTACTGTCTCCCCACAATTGATCTGATCATATCAGTTTAATTTTCTAACATTAGAGTCAGTGAGCCAAGTAATTTCTTCACACTGTGCTGCAGCAGCGATGCTTTGAGTAACAACATAAAGGTGCACTGCAGTCTTAAATGTCCTTCAAACTCTGTTTTTTTATATCTCAAATACTCATAAAGGGAAGCAAATGAAGCATTTACTGTTGGCATTTGTGCATACAGTATGTCCATGGTCTCCAAGGTAACTCACAGAGACATAGGCAGTGAGGCAGGTGATGAGTGAGGCAGTGATGGCATAGGGGATGGAGGTGTTGGGGCTCTTGGCTTCCTCTCCTGTTGTGGCGATGATGTCGAACCCGATGAAGGCATAGAAGCAGGTGGCGGCTCCCTGCATCACCTGTGACAGAGAAGAAGCAAGAGGAATGATGGCTGACATGTTTTTTTTATTTGTGTGCTCGCGACTTAGCATGTGTGTGTGTGTGTGTGTGCTTGCATGTGTGTTCACATACCCCCGACCAGCCAAAGGGCAGGAATCTCCCCTCGTCCCAGTTCTCTCCGTTGACGAAGAACAGCCCGGCGATCATCATGAACACCCACACTATGAGGTTGATGACGTTGAGCACGTTGTTGAAGCCCACAGAATTCTTCACTCCCAGAGCCACTATCACCGTCACCAGCAGTGCTATCAGCAGCGCCAGCAGGTCTGGGTATGACTGCTCCCCTTTACCTAAAGAGGGAACACACACACAAACAAATACATAGAAAGACATAGAGTCATGCCAACCATTCACTATGGTGGAGGGTGATGTGAAACTGCCAAACACCAACTTGGATACAATAGCTGATCCATGGGCTAGGACTGAAATTAACATTTACTTTTATTATTATAACATATCGATAATTTTTTGTTGTGTTAACTAGACAAGAGGTTATAATACTCTCTCTCAGGAGTGTTACTCTCTCAGGTAGATTGGAGGCATGCTAACTTCAGTAGAAGAAAAGATGTGATAGAGACACTGCTGGAGACAGCTCTTGGCAAGTAAAGGAATAAAGTTTGATGCTGACCTCACAACATTTCTTTTAGAGTAAACTGCTGTTAATGCTAATGTTGACTATGTAGCCATAATAAAACAACAAATAGCTACAAATAGCACCTTTTTTTCAACAAATCTTTTAGTGTATTAAATGCAAAAACTTGTCCAAAAAAAAGCCTTCAATCACCCAGAGGCCAAGCAGAAGAGTGAACAATTTACAAGGGGCACATGGATAATTTTAGCCTTTGGTATTTAATAGCTGACTATCAGGCCCCAACTGGGCTATTTTCTTATGTGAAACGTAATGGAACAGGCAATGCAACAGTTGGAAACACATTTATATTTACAAATCAACAAAGTTATTTTTGTCAGTTAAGCTGCCAATCACATGAAAGCATTACACCAAATTTCTAAATAAGATGCACCCCATCACTCAGCACAGTAAAACTTTTTATCAGTAATTTCTATTAAACCTGATTCAACAGCGCATTTGTTACACAGGAACCCACTCTCTGTATGTTTGGGAAACTAATTAGATTTATCAGCTAAATTCCACGTTTCCTCAGGGGTGTGGAGAAACAGCCGTTTTGCTTCAGCAGGAAAAGGAAACAGTAACTTTCCATTTTGGTGTGGAACAGCTGGCATCGCTGCTCGTCATGTGACCATTACCACTCCTTTTCTCAGTGTCCAACAGGAAGAGACTGTCAGGGAAGTATCATGCAGATAGGGACACAGTTGGCAAACACGTCAGATATAGTATTACACCAGATTAGCAGGCTTTCCCCTCATGATACTGTTTATGACATGGAAAACTGTGCTGCATGAATCATTTAGAACATCCAAGATGATTTCCAAGATAATCAGTGAAACATCATTTGAATGCTTCCTGGAAAAAAAAATCTAACGTGGTTTGGATGGTTTCCCAGATGGTGTTTGTTTCACTTTTTTCATAAGAATTTAAAGGATGTGGTGCCACTCAAATAGAGCAGCCTCATTTGCCACTGTCAGAGTGATACAGATGACATTGTGCTTCTGTAAGTCATGACTCTAAGGGACAATTACTGCAACTAGAATTACTGCCTGGTGGTTGTATGTCTCTGCCAGCTAGTCAAGTTTCAGGAAATATGGTCTCAATCTCCCCTTTCTGTTCCTGAGTTACAGCACTGTATATTGGCCAGAAGTGTTTTTGCGGAATGTCACAGTGACGCTGACCCTTTGGATATTAAATGACTTCACTTCATCATTTTATCCTATCAGACATTTGTGTTAAATTGTGTCATAATTAGCGCATGAATTCAGTTATGACCAAAAACGTGTTTTGTGACGTCACCGTGACTTTGACCTTTGACATTTGGCCATCCAGGTGAAGGTTTGTGCCATATTCCAAGGGATTCCTTCAAGGTATTACTGAGATATGGCGTTCACAACAATATAATGGAGTAATAAAAATGGATTAAAATTACTATTCTAGTGAAATCAAACAAAATAAAAAATGTGCTAATGAGAATATATTCTCTCTAGTTAAAAGAAACACTTTATTTTAGCCATACACCATTGTTCATATGTTGATATTAGCTATTTCTAAAGAGGAAAACAACAGTCAATTTCCCTTAGAGTCTTCTCACATGCTGACTTTCCATTACACATGCATGAGTTCCTTACGACACCCCTACTGTATCACTGACAGGCACACATCCTTGTTCCACTCACCCAAGCCATTGAGCGTCCCAATGTGTGAAATCATAAAGTTGCTGATGCTGTGATTGGCCAGCGAGTCCGCCATGCTGCTGAGAGCCGACGCCCCCGCCGCCGTGCCAATCAGATACTCCAGAATTAAGTTCCAGCCGATGAAAAACGCCACGCACTCGCCCACGGTCACATAGCTGTATGTGTAGGCTGAACCTGTGGTCTTAGGCACACGCACGCCAAACTCTGCATAACACACTCCTGTGGGACAGAGGGGGGAGAGCGATATAGACACACTTACATGCAGACACACATATCAGTGATTTGGCTGCATTATCCTGAGTTGAAGGTATTGATAGGAACATTAAGGTAGTATTAAGATATCCCTTGAGTGCCTCTTATATTATAGCTTTGCCCGTACAATGTCTTTGCCCTTGTAATAATTGCATGGTTATTAGAAGGCTCTTCATATAAATCATATCAGTGTAATGGTGATAAGACTGACAGTAACCTCTATACCGTGGTAGATTATGTTATAGTCAGTCTAGTGTGTGTCTGAAAGAGTGAGAGACAGTGAGAAAGTATTTAAGACCAGAAGAGAGTCAGGAAATCCATGTGTGTATCTGCATTCTCACCTGACAGTATGGAGGCCACAGCGGCAATAATGAAGGACACAATGACCCCCGGACCGGCCATCTCCTTGGCAACTAGCCCGGAGACCACATACATCCCCGTCCCGACACAGCTGCCCACACCCAGCGACACCAGGTCCACCGTAGATAACACCCGGGCCAGTCTGGTCCCGTGGGAGCCGGTTCCTGACATGGCTGAATCCAACATGGACTCCACAGGTTTGGTCCTCAGGACACGGGATGCAAAAGTGTTCCATGTTGAGCCCCACTGTATCCTGCGGGGGTCCAGCTTTCCTACCAGGCCACTCATACTGAGGGCTAAAGGTCAAGGGTCAGAGTCAAAGGGAAGAATTTCAACAGGAGTGGGAAGATGCTGATTCTTTTCCTTTTGTGCTTTGACAGTTCTTTTCAGCAAACAACTGTGTAGAGCAGGAAGAGGAATTATGTCTAATCCAAATGATGGAAGAAGATCTTGCCACTGGTGCCTCTGTTTTCTGCTACCTCTCTCTCTTATCCTGGTTTAATTGAATGCAATCTCAGTATTTCCCCACATGGTGAGAGAGAGAGAGTTATCTGAAAAACAAAAGTGGGATGATTTATTTTTGCAGCACAGCACATTGCCTTCTATTATTTTGTCTTAGACAATGCTTATTCTTGAGTGCACACGCCAAGACACAAGAGCCCAACCGTGGAGATGTATTACACATTCTTCCACAAATGAAGCGTACCTGGATGAGGAAGCAGCTAATTAGCAGACCTCTCCCTGTAGCTCTGTTGCTATAGTAGCCAAACTCATGAGTGATGGCAATGGATGCTACTATAAATCCTTTTCTCTTGTTTGTAGGAGGGAGAAAAGCTAATATGTGTAATCATATGTACAGTACATTTATAATTCCACTTAACCTCTTCCATACAGTGTAAAGTTTCTTTGAGCAAATAAAGACCCGGACATGGAGCTGTCATGGTTTTACTCTGATATAGATAATACATGTTCATGATGAGTCTAGAGTTTTATGCTCTTTTATGCTCGTTTCTTTGCTGAAGAAGATTGCACATACAAAATCCTGTTAATTACAGGCTGAAAATTACACAAAGAGTACCTGGAAATTTGTGCACTGCTAAAATAAAATGACAAAGACTGAGAAAGAAGCCAGAAAATTTAAATAACAATTAGTTTGTAATTTGTCTGCTACTAAAATACTAAAATACAAAATTTTCCATTGAAAATTATCGAATAAACTAATAATTACCTAGTAATTTTATCAGAATGTAATTGAATTAGAATGGGCTGGAGATTCTGACATCCAAGTTTCCTTGGAAACATATTTGTTATTTGTTTAGTTAGTTTATTTATGTAATTATTATGTAATTATAGGCTTGCAATTTACAGGGCTATCCAAAGTGCATCATACTATATAATTCATTATCATAAATTAGCACCCGGTATATAAATATTAGCTCAGTAGTACTTACACATTAATGTATGATTAATAATGATAAAATAATATATCATATAATAATACATCACTCACAGGAGCCACTTTTCTATATGTTGAGTGCTTTATTTTTGATGTTGGGAAGATTCTGAATGCTTGACTTTTATCTAGTATTTTTTCATTGTTGTATTGCTGCTTTTATTTGAATAAAGCATCTGAATACATTTTCCACAACTGTGTATAATTATATAGCAGCAGTACAGTAGCAGCAATAGTTGAAGCACTACAAAAAAAAAACATTAAAATGTTTCCTCATGTTTAGAAAATGCGACCAAGTGAAAATGCTTTGTCTGTCACAATTTTGTCAGAAATGTGTGTGGTGCAGTGGAGAACAAAAGAAACATGTGACAGTAAGCAGTGGGTGAATCAGTTACAATCTGGATATTTTTTTATGAGGAATAATTATAACAATTATGTATAAACATGAACAGGCTTTCTATGTCATATGAGTAATAGAGTGATAAGAGATGCTGCTGAAAAGGGAGATGTTAAAGTCATCAATTGTAGCCCAGTCCATCTCTCCCTCTTTCTTTTCCTCTCTTAACATCAGTGAACTAACACTCACCATTCATCCACTTTAAACAACAAGCGCAAGTTACTGGACAAACACACACACACAGACAAACACACACACACACACACACACACACACACCGCACACTCACAATTGCCTCTCAGCTATAATACGAGACACTCCAATGATGACTGCAATTACCCAGCTATTTAGCCAGAGTAGGCCGGTTCTGCTGTTGTCGCTGCACTTAGTGAGAGTATGAGCGTGTGCAGTGGCAGAAAAAGCTCAAAAGGTGATTTAATTTGCGTGTGATGGTGAGTGTTGGGTGGGGCGGGGGCTCTTAACCCGTGACAAGGCCAACTCACATGTATTATGATTATACAGTAACAAAATCAGATTTCACAGTTTGCTTGCCAAGAAATGCATGATATGTGATATGAAACTGATCCAAGCAAACAGTGGCACAGACACACAGAGCAGAGGATGTGTTGTCAATGTATTCAATGAAGCAAACTTGTCAGCACTTTTTAGATGGTATTATCTCAGTACAAGAAACTGCTTGATACAACTCATACAATATGCAAGCTTTGCAAGATGCAGATCAAGTCCTACAAATGTTAGGGCTCACATCATTACACAATCACCCAGAGACTAAAGCTAGCAGTGTCTACTGTACCTGAACATGTCTTACACTACATGTGGTTTCCATTTTTTTTCATACTGCAATTCAGAACGAATGGTTTTGCAAATTTACTCATAATAAAAAAATGTATGATGATACCAGGGTCTCATGTTTGACAATTAGTCTAAAAGAAAATTCAATTCTACCAGTTGTTTAGTTAGATACTCCACTGCTGAACAATTACATACACAATTTAAAACTCAAGCACACACACCCAGTCAGCAGCACTGGTCAACACTCTCTCTTATATGACTAGGGCATTAGTGTGTTTGTGTGTGTGTGTGTGTGTGTGTGTGTGTGTGTGTGTGTGTGTGTGTGTGTATGTGTGTTTGTGTGTGAGGACAGGAAAAGATGAACAGATTAGGAGGAAATGATGAGGAGGATGAGCAGTGGGCTTTGATCATCCTGTTGGGCTTTGTAAATAAATGTGTGTGTGCATGTGTGTGTGTTTTTTTTGTGTTAGAGAATATGTGTAGTATGATCAGATCTTAACAGCTTTAATTGAAGACACTGATACCTGTGCATGGATCCAATCACATTCTGCAAAATAAAAAAATCTTCAAACATTGGGATGTGTATTACACACACACACACACACCCTTTTATTGTTGCATATCACAAATCAAAAACATCTGTTACATTGTTACATTTTAATATTCTCTGGCTAGTTTCATCGACAGCTATCGCCACCTGCCCTGTGTTGAGTGTGCACTATTTGAACAGTCAACAAAACAGAGCTTCACAAAGCACTGTGGCAGCAGGTGTCCCATCTGCTGCTCTGTGCTGTGCTAGAAAACTGACTTCAGTTTATTAACAGCACTTCCTGGGATAAAGGTTAGTCAGAGAACATTTAACCTTTGTAGAAACTGAGCTTATGTGAAACAAAGATGCGATTGAATAAACAACAAATGTCAACAACATTAGAGTTATCATATGTCCTGTAACAACTATGTTCACGGTTTTTACAATTAAACTAAAATCAAGAAAATTACTTTTAGATCTTGCTGTCACTCACATTTACAGAAAATAATATAATTTAGCCCCAAAAGCTGTTTGTTCCAGTGTTTATGCTAAGCTAAGCTAATCAACTCCTGGTTCCAGCTGCATCTTATCACACACATAAGAGTGGTATCCATCTTCTCTTTTAACTGTCACCTAAAAGCTGTATTTCCTAAAATGTCAAACTGTTTCTGCACTTTCTGTGGTTGTAGCAGACTAAAAATTAACTTCCTCAACGCCACAACATCCCAGATTACTACACTCTCTGAGAGAAAGAAAAATTCATTAATTTACACACAGTGTAAATGGTGGCAGCTAGTTCTTCTGCAATAGCAACATTTCCATGGTGCTCCGTCCCCTGTCTCTGAGAACAAGACAGAGACAGCTGCTCTTCTCAGCCTTTATACGGAGCACAAGCTGAAGTGCCAGTGGCAATGTGAGCTACTGAATTATCTAATAGAGCGTGGGCACAGGCAATAAATTTTATATTTATTTCAACTTCTAGCCATGGAAGTGCTCATATAGCTCTCGCCATTTCATCACAAGCCATAGGAAGAATAAGTGTATATGTGAACAAAACATGAGCAGAAAATAACACAGCTATGAATAGGACAAAAATTTGAACTGCCGTCGTCTCCCAGTGTGTGAGCAATACACTGCCGATGTATTTACAGCTGTCCTATTTCGCAGAGACAAGCAGTGTAATAGAATTTTAAACCAGACATTTCTTCAATACTATAGCACTCAAACAAACTCCTATTATCTGCTCAGCCAGAGTGCTGTAGTTTTAAAGATCAATAATTGAATCCCTCTCATAATAATTGTCACCAGCACCTCTATCATCTTAGCATTAGTGTGTTTCCTCTCCAGATAAGTGAACTGTCATAACATCCATCCTTGCGTCCAAGGGCATAGGTTTGCATATGGACAGTAGGGAAATCTCCAAACCAACCAATTTAGGCATGCTAGCATTTGATTGACTGAAGGTGAAGGGGCAATCTGAAGGCTTACATCATGTGAGAATATCAAAGTGGTACATAACGTCCCAAAGCCTTATGCCTTACTATACTAAGACTTTTTTTTAAAAGTTTTTATGTCTTACTATACTATAACGTTATATTATGTTTTTATGCCTTACCTTAATATGACGTTTTTTGATGTTTTTTTTGCCCTATTATACTATGAGTTATTATGCCTTACTATGCTGTGATTTTTTTGTGCTTTTTTCATATTTTTATGCTTAATGCTAATGCTCATTTTAATATGACGTTTTTATGCCTTACTATATTATGGCATATTATGCCTTACTATGCTGACGTTTTTTCATATTTTCATGCTTCATTTTAATATGACGTATTATTCCTTACTATGCTGTGATGTTTTTTCATATTTTTATGCTTCATTTTAATATGACGTTTTTATGCCTTACTATACTATGACGTATTATGACATTTTTATGCCTTACTATACAATGACGTTTTTTTGGTGTTTAAAGGCCTTACTATACTATAATGTATTATGCCTTACTATACTATGACGTTTTTTGATGTTTTTCTGCCTTACTATGCTATGACGTATTATGCCTTAATATACTATGATGTTTTTTGACATTTTTATGG